GGTAACGGATGCTTAAAGCGTGACGAAGAGGAAAGATAGTAAGCTTCAGTGTGCTTTTTGGCCCTCTTGTTTCTTCCTCCTCCTTCTCTTCCCTCTTTATCCCTTACCCCTTATCCTGGGCCCCTCTGTGGAGTCAGAGGGGGGGTTGGGCATTCGGAGAGGAGGGAGAAACTATTCCAGAAATGTCCTGTTCCTCCCGCCGAAGATGGCGCTTTGTTTAGTTTAAGCAGTGATGCTGGCGGAGCTGCATTTCCGACGTGCTCCTCGGGAAGCTGCCAGGCACTAAATGAACTGTAAGAACAGCTTTTGATTGACATTTTAAGCACTTCTGCTTTTAAAATAGCCGAAATAAATCCAGAAAGGATTTCTTCTAATATGGAGCCTATGGGCCCAACTGACACTTTCCAGAAGGCCTCTATTAAGGTGTGACATTCAGGAAAGGGCTTCAACACAAAGCACTTTCTGTTTGTAGATCGCCGGGTACGTCATCAGCTAGCAGGCAAAAAAAAGCAATAAAAGTCTGTAGTTAGGGGAGAAAATCTTTAGAAGGCAAAGCTCACGAGTTTGGAAAGAAGCACATTTTACAAGAAGTACACAGATTCACACAAATGCAAATCTGCTGCAGTAACGTCTGGCCCACAGCAGCAACAGCTGACTGCTGCCAACAGGCTCTCCAGCTTTATTTTAGGCTCAGTGGAGGGTAAGTCAGCAGATGCTTGTTTATTTAAACACACAGCTGCTTGATGAAGGGTGTGAGTCATGTTTAATCTTGGATGTTATCTCGGAGTTCAGGATAGTGTGACGCATCGATGAGTACATCGAGGGTGGGTCTGGGTGGGCCTTCTCCATACCTCTTATCACTTCCCCTTTCTTCGTGGAGCCAGTGATGTAACAACTAAGCCAAAACACAAGTCAAAGTAACAAGACGACGACACACAAAGTGGTCCTTTCTACCAGCCACTCCCACAAGCTCAAGTTTTCCTTGCCAGCAAAAGAATTCCAAGTTGACCAAAACCGATATTTAGAACAAAACACAGAGGAATTCAGGCAGCGGTACCCAGGACAACCGGCACAAACTGGCTCCAAGTGTGTGACATGGAGGGAGTGCACACTAGTTTCTGTTAAATCAAAGAGTCATCTTTTATAGCCTGGAAAGCCCAGGTGAGCTGCATCAGCTGATGACCTTCTCATGTCAGCCAATTACCAGCAGGAGTAGGCCAGGACTTCCTTGGAGACACTGGAAGGGCACATGACAAGCAGCCAACTCGTCTTGAGCGCGCTGAGGTCACACCGCTCATCACTTCCTCATCGACGGTTTTTCCTATTGGATGGTTCAACATTATGTATTATTGTACAACGCCAGCTCACTGTTGGCTCCCAGAGGCTACACAGCCACCCCTCACTAGCCTGGGCACCCCAGGAGATCGAGTCAAGTAAGGTGGAAATTACTTTTCAACATCCTTCATTTCCAACATCAATGAAGGATGTTGCAGACCCACTGCAGAACCACGCTGGGTTGTGAGGCTTTCATCCACCTTAAAGTGGGAATAACACTCAGTTGAGACCTCTTTGAAATCTACATGAAGTGCATAGCTGTGTAGTGTAGTATCCTCCTCTTGTAAATACGGTTTTTAATCCCAACCAGAGATGGGCAGAAACGCGTTACTTGTAATC